CTGGTTTTGGCTGGGATAGAGTTAATTTTCTTCACAGTAGCTAGTATGGGGCTATGCTTTGGATTTGTGATGAAAACAGTGTTGATAATACAGGGATGTTTTGGTTATTGCTGAGCAGTGCTTACACAGAGTCAAGGCCTTTTCTGCTTCTCACACCACCCCACCAGCGAGTAGGCCGGGGGTGCACAAGAAGTTGGGAGGGGACACAGCTGGGACAGCTGACCCCAACTGATGAATATTCCATACCATATGATGTCATGCTCAGCATATAAAGCTGGGGGAAGAAGAAGGAAGGGGGGGACGTTCGGAGTGATGGCGTTTTGTCTTCCCAAGTAACCATTACGCGTGATGGAGCCCTGCTTTCCTGGAGATGGCTGAACACCTGCCTGCTGATGAGAAGCAGTGAATGAACTCCTTGTTTTGCTTTGCTTGTGTGTGCAGCTTTTGCTTTACCTATTAAACTGTCTTTATCTCAACCCGTGAGTTTTCTCACTTTTACCCTTCCGATTCTCTCCCCCATCCAAATATGGAGGAAGTGAGCAAGCAGCTGTGTGGTGCTTAGTTGCCGGCTGGGGCAAACCACAACTTCACAGATTCCTCTCTAAAGGTAAAATATTGTTTCTTAAAAACTTTTCTACAGTGTTGTTATCAATGAGCCCTGGGGTATGTCCACATCAGTGATTCGGAGCACAGGAGGAGTTCTTTTTGGTGCCTATGCTTAGCCTGGTGGTAGGCACGCCAGTGCGCCACTGATGTGTCCAAGGTAACTTCCTTCCTGCTGAAGACTGAAGTTGTGTGCCAAGAATTCTTAGGATTGAGAACTGGCATAAATGTTGCAGCCACTAAAGACAAATGTGAACTCACAGCTTTGAAACCATAACCATTTGCAGCAAATTGAACACTCCCTCTTTGCAATACAACAGTCAGTAATGAATAATTAACCTTAGCCTTTAGCAAGTATCATGCATGTATCTTCACAATGCTCCAGTAAGACGAAACAGTATAATTATCTCTGCTCTACAGGAAAGGAACAACTGCATGAGTGTCAGAAAATAAAAATCTCAAAAGAAGAAAGTACCAATAAGAATTGTATTAATCTTCATTTTTTCAGGACATTAAACATTATATGACATTTTACTGTGAAAAACCACAGGCCATTGACTTCAGTTACAGGTGTGAAAAATCAGCTTTTTTTTTCACCCCAGTCTGAAGCTGGTTATCTAGAACTTGAGAAGAAGAATGAAAATTACATGGAAATAGCAGCCTGCTTGTGAAAAATGCAGTAACTACAACCCCTTGCTTCATTCAAATATGCTTTCTAACTTTTGAAGCTAAACACAGGATCATAAAACTTCATTTATTTCTAGAGCCTATCAAGAGAGATGCTATAGTAGAAAGTGATTGAAAACAGGATCCAAGGTGTATACATGTCTTCATACATGTGCACACACCTAGGGTCAAAGCACAAGTAGGTGGAATCGGACCTCTTCACACAATATTTTTTTAAAACAGAAATAATAAATGTATATATTTACATTGTTATTGTTTCTGATAGCTTGTTTTTATTCTTTCAATTTCCTTTAAGCACAGGAAATTGCAGCTGAAAAGTCTGTATTTTCCTGAATTCAACTAGTAATTAGTCGGCATTCAACTGCAAAATTTAAGTTATTACCTCTCTTCAAATCCTTTCTTGAAACCTTTGTAAGGGAATGCATTTTGGATTTCTTTTTTAACAAAATACATCTTGCTTCTTAGATCATATCCCATTTAAGGAGCTAGATTTACAGAGGTTTAGGTACTCATCCAAATCATACCTTCAAATCCCTTTCCCCTTCCCAAAAGATGTGCAGACCAGTTGATCTATCTTCTGGGACTTGAAAGAGACATCAGTATCATAATTCATTGTAGCCAGCATTACTTTTTGCCCAGTATCTTGTATAAATAGCCATGTCTCAGAGAACCTAAGCTAATGTCCTGGTTTCAGCAGGGGTAGAGTTAATTTCCTTCCTAGTACCTAGGACAATGCTGTGTTTTGGATTTAGGAAGAGAACAAAGTTGATAACATACCCATGTTTTAGTTGTTGCTAGGTAATGCTTACACTAGCCAAGGACTTTAATCAAGTGGTTAAAGATTGGAAGAGGCTGCCCAGGGGAGTGGTTGAGTCCCCATCCCTGGAAGTATTTAAAAGACGAGTAGATGCGGCGCTTAGGGACATGGTTTAGTGGGCATGGTGGTGTTGGGTTGACGGTTGGACTCGATGATCTTAGAGGTCTTTTCCAACCTCAATGATTCTATGATTCTATGAAGTAGCTTTAGACTACCTTTGCACCCTTCTCAGCCTGGACTACGAAGGTATGGCAGTGATTCCTAACACCATTCAAAATA